AAGATAAAAGGCTCCTTAGATTACAGCTTAAGACAGCCGGAAACGCTTTTTGTCGAGAGAAAAACATTACAATTTAGAGCTTAGAGCAAGAGGCCTAAAGGTTTATCATACCTATTATAGATCGGGCTTGATCAGAAGGAGGTATACGTATGGCCCGTTCGGCACAAGCCGCGGGTCTGTTCGCGTGGGTAGGATGGCCCTTCCTGAGCTTCCTGTTGATCGCGGGATGGATCGCTTATCTAGTACGCAAGTCGTATGAAAGATGGACGACATCGGGAACAAGGTAGTGTCTCGTGAACGGCAACCGACTACGCGGATTCCTGGTTCGCAGAAAAAAATAATTCATGGCTTGAATACGATTGAATAGTAAGTTATGACACATTTCAATTATAAGGTATTGTGTGGTATTAATCTTTTGTAATTCTATATGTCCGAATTTGAATTAACAATGACCATCGCATAATTCTTCAAGCATTCGAACTTATAATTGGCAAATTATGTTTATATTAATATAATATTTATATAATACATTAAAATATAAATATTATATTTCTTTTTATTATTATTTATATTAATATACATATTAATATAAATAATATTATTTATTTTTATTAATATAAATAATATTATTTATTTTAGAATGTTCATCAATTCCTTCAAATTAATAAAAATTTAACGATTAAAAAATTGATCGATCACAGTCGAATGTGAGAAGAATAATCGAATATGATTGGTCAATTCCTTACGGCTTAAGACTTACTACTCTATTGTGTTTGCGGAGTAACCGTATGCTGTATGCCATAATCTGTAAAAATTGACTAATCACAGTCGAGCAGTCCCTTCTTAGAATTGAATGTGAGAGGAATACTCGACTGTAATTAGTCAATTCTTACAGATTATGGCATATGGTTACGGCCAATATAAATGTTCCCTTAACGTGTCATTTCTTATGACGTCACGATTCAATATGGCAACGGTAACTGCGCAGTTTGTTAATTATATTGTATCACTACATTGAGATATTTTAAAGCAGTTTTTAATATGCACTGATCCAGTGTAGTGCGAGTGATCGAATTCACCATAAGAAAAATGTTCGTCAGAAAAAGAACGCTTTAAATTGCGTTGCCTATAAATTTAAAACTCGGCGTAACTTCTATGAGTGTTGACCGTGTTCCGATATATACCTACTACCAATACACTGAAAATTTATAGTATGTATACGTAATGTGTGTGTATGTATGTATACTATAGATTTTCACTTTCCAGTACTGGCAGTGTATATCGGAGTACACGGTTTATATCTATGGAAGAGTGAACCGTTTGACAATTATCGACGTTACAAATGAATATTTTCGCGCCTTCGCGACGTCGGAACATAATAATGGGAATCATATTGATTCCCGATAGAAACATTGGCAATACTTTCTTGGCGAGTGTCACGAGCGTAGAGATGAAACGCGAGGTCGAAGACTAGGGTGCGTTCGGTGTAATGCTACTGTCGAGTGCAGAGTTAATCAGCACGTGGTATGAAGCGCACAAATGGTCTCGATGGTGATTACTTTAGACTTCTGGCTCGAAGTAGGCGATCAGTAGATAGAGGCAGCGAGCGAATGAGCGAGCGAGCGAGAGAGAGAGAGAGAGAGAGAGAGAGAGAGAGCGAGAATGGGAGAATGAAAGAGAAACATATGAGCGAATAGGGGACTCGGAATATATTCCTGGCACGTAAAGTTGCCTAAGACGCGGTAGAAGTGCGTGTGACTTCGCACGGAAGGAAGTCCGGAGTGCATTCTCAATGCATGTTAGTGCGGCGCGATCGCACGTCGCGACGACGCGGGCGACGGTGACGGTGTGGCCGACGAGGGCGACGACGACGAAGACGAAGGAGGAGCACGCGCGGGAATGACGAGGTGCGCTCGCAATACAGGCGATGACGTGACGCGATAAACACGAACGACCGGGCCTACAAGAACGCGACGCGTCGCGCCGCGATGGAGCTGAACTTTTGCGAGAAGACGGTCGACCGCGACGACCACGTGTCTTTTTCCGGGGAGGGGCCGTCCTCCGGCCCTGGCGCTGGTCTCGAGTATGACCTGTGGGAAGGCCAGTTCCAATTCGTAGGACAGCAACCGCCGCCGCCATCGTCGCCGTCGCCAACACGCAGCGATCGACAGCCACCTCGTCGCCGTGGGCACCGGCTCGGCGAGCAAGTAAGAGGAGAGTGATAATCTCTGGTGCGCGCCCGGCAGGAAGCATCCGACGATCGCGATCATCGAGATATTTCGAATTCACCATGAATTCGCTTCTTCGTATTCGGTTCGATCTACCGGCTTACCGCTTTATTGCGTGTTATCGACTGTCATTGCGTATGTGATCCCGCGAACAAACGCGGAGGCTATTCTCGTGCGTCCTTGTTGCCAGCATGTTTATCTGAACGGAGATTTTATATTTGCATTTCGCGCATAGATGACACTTCACTCTGCGTCATCTCGGATACGTCGAAAAGATGTTGCATGGAAAATGACAATATTAAACGAGGTTTATATGCGATATTATGTATATCGTTCGATTATATAAAGCTCATCTTAAAGGGATATCAATTGATTATCGTTATCGCATGCGATGTTTTCTGATGATTTAAGATAGCGAGTATTTTTAATTGTGCATAGCCGTTGTTACATACGCGCAACATAACTGCAAAATATAATCGGGATACGAGGCGTGAAGGCGAGGTTTTATCATATATTTTCTTCGACTTCTGTGACAGGCTGTTCCAATAAAAAGAGACAAGGAGATTGTAAGTAGTCCGTCTCCATTGATAGCCGTAGCATTGTGATAATCGCGGCAGCGTGGGCATGCTTCTAAAGGGAGTATGCTCCTCCCCCTCCCCGTTTCCCAACTTTCCTTCAATATACTTTCTCCGAATAATTCCGCGCCTACGAAGGTACTATTCGTGGATTCTTAGGCCGGTATTCATAGTTAGATCTTATATTCAAGACCGTTTTAAGTATAGTCTTAAGAAGTCGCGAACCAATCAGAGGGCCGTATTTATAGTGTCTTAAGATATTACTTAAGACAGTCTTGAAATAAGAAATTACGAATACCGGCCTTAGTGTCAATTAATCGATCTGTTTACTCGATCGGTAGCTCTTTGTATAGTCTTCTCGGTGACATCATTGGATTTTTAATTTTCAGCGTACCATTTTTCTATACTTGGTTAATTAAAGTTATTAATATTCTTTATTACTTTGTTAAAGGGGGAACTTACTTTAGGAGACCAAAAAAAGTGATCTTTCGTAATTTTTTAAACAGGAAGACTAATGTCTACCGTTTTAAAATTTTTTCACAACTTTTAATACAACTATTGTACATTCAATTTTTTGTGAAAAGAAAAAAGAATTGTTATTAGAATAAATACATAAACATTTAATTTTTTGCTTCACGAAGTTATCATTTTGTGTACATCCTGTTCGGTACTTTAATTCTTGAAATGAAACAAAAAATGAAAAAATATTTATAATATTCATGTTATTTTATCCCAAATGAATCTTTAAAATCTACATACAAATATACATACATAAATTAAAATTTCGTGCGATTTTGAAAAAAAGTTACGATTTTTGTTAAACAGCATCCATTTTTTTATGCAAAAATGACCGTTAATAGATTTTTTATAATTTTTTAAGTTCATCGAGGAAAGTTGACCATTATCTAATGAGTTTTATAAAAAGTCGATTGGCCAAATAATTTTTTTTTTAAATCGTAAATTTACAAAATTAAAGAAAATTTTAAAAACAGATTTTGGGATAAACATTTAATTTACACGTTTAAAGTTTTCGATGTAGTTTTTAAATATTTACAATGCTTGAAAGCTAATCTACTATTCCAGAGGCACACAGTAGTCCTTCAACTTCCTCATTAAATTTAATATAGTGCTTGCATTCCGGACCAATATTAATTTCCAATTCATTAATAATTTTTAAAACAGCAGAATATCCCTTGTTGAAAATGCCAGTGGCAATAAAAGCGGTAATTTCGAGTATTTTTGCATTGCAATTGAGATGCTTTGGCGCTAGTCTCCAGATGGTCGTTAAACTTTCGTTTACGTTCTGAGTATATCCAGACATCACCTTAACAGATCGTATGATCGACGTAAATAGGAATCAAATGCTTTTCAATATCTCGATAACTATCGTTGCGCGCCTGTAACCTGCGCGCCGCGCTCTCCTTACAAGCGTTTATGATGCAGCGCTGTAATTGGCTGGAAGAAATTCTTCATTTCTCACATTTAATTGTTAACAAAAAAATCGTAGTTCAGTATGTTTCGATAGTACAATATCTTGGAATTATTTTGGCACTACACACTTCTATAAATAGACTGCCAACTTCGCCTCCATGTTTGAAGATAGCGCTGGGCAGCGCCATGTTTGTGTTTACTCATTCTCACATGTACAAATCACACGGATAATAACGTTAGTGTTTTCACATAAATTCACGCGATACTCACAGACAGGACACATATATACGCATATATGAACTGAAAAAAGGATAGCTCGGAATCAAGTTCATCTCTTTCTATCACATTGAGTCAGCAGTCTAGTTATAGAAATCTGTGTTTGGCACCAAATACATGCGAGCAAATAATTCTGTTGAGAGAAAATAAACTTGAAGCGCGACGCGGAGCGCGCAGGTTAAACTATTTGTTTTTCACATGTTACACTTGGCAAAAAAATCAGGTTTGTTCATATTTCTGAACTCTCTGAAACTTATCTAAAACCTATCTAAAATCTAAATGGTAGCATAATTTATAAACTTGTAATATATTCTCGTAAAATTTTCCGCGTAACAAAGTTATTATTTTTTGGATGTAAAAAGTCGATGAAATAACGTGCTTAACATCATTAAGATTACTTTATATCACGATTAGGAATGACTCTAGAAAATCTATGAAATGAAACGTGAAGGCGGTGTGTGAAACATTAAACTCCTTTTAAATGCCATAGGTTCAAATGATCCAAGAGCAAATGGATGCTTTAGCGGATACTAAGTCGGTCGGTGAGGAAAGGTACGCTCGAGCGAAGCAAGAAAATGCAACATTACAGGCGCGAATATTGATGCTCGAGGAAGCGGCCAAAGATGCAGAAACGAGAGCCGAAGAGAGGCTTCAAGTAAGTAACTCGATATAGATCGGCTAAAATTATTCGTAATTAAACACAATCTAATATAAAAAAAAAACAAAAATTTATAATTCGTGTGTGTAAAGTTCATTATATTTTTTTAAATACATAAATTATATATTTTCATATGCATATATGTAGCACGTATATAACTTTATACAATGAAATCATGTCTCTTTCATTTTTATAAGATATTTTGCGTTTTGAATTTGATATCGAAAACGATTGAAGAGCATAATTTTTGTTTGTGTACTCTTCGAGGATTCTCTATATGATAAAATAAAGTTATAGGTTTTTTAAATCGCTACAAAATTGATTATACTTTATTAAAAAAAAAAAATTTCTCCACATTTCTCAGGCCGAACAACGAAGACATCGGGAAAGGGCGTGTCGCTTGGAACGTGAATATCAGTTGCAACTAGAGAACTGTAACATCAAGCTGCAGGCAGCGGAGTTGGACAGTTCCAGTTTGCGGGAGGAGATTGTGCGAGTACGCGAACAGCTCGAGAGAGCGAGGACGGATAAAACGCGGCTCGAGAATGATCTCCGGGAGGCCAGGAGGGAAGCGGACGCCGCGCGCGAAAGTGAACGTCATGCGATAAGCCGAGCTAACGAGGCTCATCATATGCTCGATGTTATGAGAGAGGAACTTTCGTTACGGAGTGAGAATCAGCAGAGGCTTGAGGAACTGGTGCAGCAGGTGGCTGAACTTCAAGCTCGCAATAAAAGTACGTTCATTGTTGAACTACGGAATCATTAATTGAATTCCGGAAGTCGTTCTCTCCTTAAGCATTCGTGTTCCTATCATGAAAAAATCTGCATTTTGAGCGTGTCTAAATTTATTTGTTAACATAAATTTTGTTCTACATAATATTACATTTATCGATTTGTAGGCTTGGAAGAATCTCGAGATGAACTACAAGCTGCTGCGGCGTTACAGGCAGGCCGTGAACTTATAATGCTGAATCCTTGTAATAATAACGCTGAAAAGGGTCCTAGTCTTGCTGTGGAATTGTTAGCCGGCATGAATCCAGATCAGGTATTTTCTTAAGATATAGCGAATCTATTAACCCCGAACGTAAACGAATGGATATTAACAATTTATATTAACATCGACTTCTTTTTCTCATCGCCTTACAGATAGATGGCCAAGGAGAGCTCAGTGAACTGTGCACGATGGCTGAAGTACGTATTAAAGCTTAATTCGAAATTTTGCTTTGAGAACGGTATGATTAAGTCTTATATTTATGTTACAGTTAAAACAAGCCCTAAAGGAGCAGCAAGAAGTGAACACGCAGTTAAGAACATACATCGATGGAATATTATTGAACATCGTAGAAAATTATCCGCAATTGTTAGAAGTGAAACAAATGCACTGATACATAGCACATAATCTACCATTACATTATGTTTTAATGCTTTCAAGGCAATTGTACATTAACTTTCTTTGAATTGAAGAGACTCGAGGGGGCTGCCTAGAACTTGACCAATATTGATATGTGTTTTATAGATTAATATTTTCGAATAGTATTTGAATACGTAGAGCGCAAAAGCACATTTAAAAGTCAATTTTAACTAAAGTCAAGCCTTTTTAAAGCAATAGTTCCCGCATAATGTAAAACTTTAAAAGACGTCTAACTAACTTCGCAGAAGGAGCCTTTTCTAATTATAAGTGTCTAAGACATTTCTTCAGATTTCCCTGTTTATCTTATCAGAATCAAAATTCACGTGATCGTTTAAGCTCTAGGCAGCAACCATCTCTGTTCATCTCGAAAAAAAAAGAGTAATAAAGTGACGCTACCGTAGTTGCAGCGTGTGCAATGATACAAAAGGGAGAATATTCGACTGGTGTCATATCTCTGAGATGTCATACCATTCGCAGATCTATGAGCGTTTTTTTCCACTGCCGTCAAACTTCGTCGCGCTAGTGTCATCATTGCCAGAGTGAACAAATTACGCTTCTCGGATTCTTTACACGTCGTCGGCTGGCCTAAGCACTTTGCTGTACGCGATATCTTTAAAGTACTCATACATGTTAATAATCATATATGATTAATCCGAATGAATATACAGGGTATCCCCTAATTATTGACGCAGCGCTCGTATGTAGATAGAACGGAATAAACTGAGTCAAAAAGTCCTATATTATTTTGCAATTTTTGCAACAGTTAACCAAGACTTTTCGAGTCAGTTTGATCCGCTCTGCCTGCACACAAGCACTGTGTCATAATGTTAGAATAATGTTAGATTTGGGGATCACGTATGCATATATATGTCATGTATACATTTATACATAGAAAGTTTGTTCGCGTCGCAAGCTTCAGCATGCTCCTACCATAGCTCCTACTCACTCTATCAAGCGCGTTGGAATGAGTAGGAGCTATGGTAGAAACATATTGGAACATGTTGGAACGCATGTTGCATGCAACGCGAGCAAACCTTATGTATACATACGTGTACGCGCGTGTGCGACAACGGAGATGACGCAACTGCAGACTGCATATGTCGCGAAAAACTGTGATGCATTAGAGTACCTTTTCATTGAAAATTCGTGTCTTGGCTACACACGCCTACAATATATCCTACGGGCGACAACCTTGTACTCTAGATCTTTATACCGAAGACTAGTAAAATTGCAATAAACGATTCTATTTTGATACTCGTTTCGCCTCCTTTTCCGCTCTCCGAAAATTAATTTTGATTCGAGAAAGTTGATCGGTATTTCGACTTTCGTCATATAGGCTTGAATAAATTTCTTATTGGAACGTGTTCTAATAAGTTCAACAATTTCAAAAGAAGAATCGAGGATTTCGAAAAATGTATCCCTGGCGGAAAAACAAATTTTTACGAAAAAGTACAGAAAAACTACATAGATTGAGACAAGATCTTAAAATTCTTAATTTTTCGTAGATATTTGTAGTGAGACGTAGAGTGGCGTTGTTTGAGGGCGGAGGATTTCAAGGTTCTTCAATCTTCAAACAAATAACATCGCTCTGTGTCCCATTACGAATATCTATGAAAAACTAATAATTTCTAAAATCTTGTCTCAATCTATGTAACTTTTCGTAAAAGTTTCCGCCAAAGGTGCGTTTCAACTTTCGCTATTCGTCAAAATAAGGGTTCATCATAATGGTGCTTCCAGATGATTTGGCCAACATAAACCAACTTTGCACACATTCACTAAATTGGTTTACATTCATGGATAATTATGCATGTACGTGTCTGTGTGTAATATTTGACAATCTAGCATACATTGTCCATATTGTCTGGAGACACCTTAAGTGAGAGAGGCCAATTTGCGTTTTCAAAACAATCGCATGTTTAAAGCATGCGGATAAAGTGACTAGTTTGTTAAAAAGATGAATAAAAACAGTTTGTTAAAAAATGATTATGTTTCTTACATATGTAGAGTAATCCAAAAATCTCCATATAAGAATTTCAAATTATTTTTATAGGTATGTACATAATATATAAAATTACTACACATCCGTTACTCCAATAAAAATGTTAATTCATCACTCACCGACCCGATGCGAAACAGTGGAGTTATATCTGCAACATCGCTGCGATGATTCTATAACAAATAAATTAAAATCCAAATTAAAACAGGATAAAGAAATAATCATTATTTTAAAAAATAATTGCTATATAAATGCATGCAGTTTTCTTAAAATAATCATGCAATTTTGAAAATATAATTTTTATAGGCATCGAATTTTGTATCTATTATTTAATTAGATATAAAATAATTATATATTCTCTAAAGGAGATTTTAGCAAGAATAAATTTGTATAAAATTTTAAAATAATTTTTAACTAATTCTCCTTTTATCTCTAATTGTTATTTTAATGTTTATTTTTAAATCATTGTCAAATAAAATGATTTAAAAATAAGTAAAAAAAGATTTTACATAAACGCAAGGTTTTATACAACAAGCAAAAAAAATAAATATATTGCATGAAAATATTAAATTCGTATGTAATACATAAAAACATTCAAATCCAGCAAATTTGTCTTTCCCAGGATTGTACCGCCATTGGCTGTCGCTAGTTAACGATAGCGACAATCATCGATAAGACGTTTAGAGAATCTCGCTACGGATTAGATTAGTGTATAATGGCTTTAATGTGCACAGAATGCGCACCAGTTCTGCCAATAAAAAACGCTAGAGTCACGATATGATAAAATAGTGCATTGATTGGTCTGCCATGTTTCAGAAATTCCCGCATATTTGTGTTACTTTTAAATTTCAACAATATAATTAAAATTAGATATTTTAAAGGTATTAACAAATAAATTTCTTACATTACGTCTCGGCTCTGAATCGTGAAAGCTCTGCTTTTTTGCACGTGACGATGCAAAGCAGAGTTCTTATTAGACCTGTTCTTTTTAGCTGAACTGGTGCAAAATTTCAGCCAAAAAGAATAGGGAGTCGATTGTGTATTTTGAAATATGGTGAAAATTACAAAAGTGAGCAAATTCACTAGTTATTGACCAATTAAATTATAAGTATTCTAGTGAATTTGCTTACTTTTGTAATTTTCACCTTATTTCGAGATACACATTCGACCCCCAGGTCTATTGGATATTGCTCGTCGCTCATCTCTCATCGCGCGTCCAGTGTGTAATAGACATTAAGGTCGGTATTCATAGTCAGTTCTTATAGACTAGTTCTTTAAGACTAGGTTCTTTAAGTCCGGATCTACAATAGGTGTTTTAAAACTTAAGCCGTGAGAAACTGACCAATTATAGTCGAATCCGAGAGGAATAATCGACTGTGATTCGCCCATTTCTTATGGCTTAAGGTTTAAAACTCTATTGTAGATCCGGGATAAGACTATCTTAAGTAATGTCCTAAGATGCTAATACAGCTTTCTGATTGGTTCATGACATCTTAAGACTGTACTTAAGGCGGTCTTAATAAAAGATTTGACTATGAATACAGGCAGAGAGAAATCTGAATCTTTATTAATTCGATATATTTTAGTTATTTTAGCGATTTAGTTCCATCAGGAGCACCGCAAAAAAATGGATATTGTTATGTAATTTACATTCACTTCTTCAGAGGGCAGTGCGCCAGAGCATTTTGTGGTTACAGGAAAAAGGTCCTCATGTTCTCTCTTAAGTTTCTCTCTGGTAGAATTATGGCCTAGTTTACATCGTGCACTTGATGCGGGTACTAACTAGTAATTTTCTATTAAATTATCTTAATTTCGACAATACAAGTAAACATATACATGATATTCGTATTCAATTCATTATTTTGATGCATTTTACACTAATTTAGTACATCACCTTTAAATACATTGTCGAAATTAAGATAATTTAATAGAAAATTGCTGGTTAGTACGCGTATTAAGTGCTCGGTGTAAACAAGGTCTTACAACATGTGAACAAAACTTTTTTGCAACTATTAGAAATTATCTTCGCTGATATAAGACAATTCCCTTAAATCAAAAAGTAATAATCCAATCAGCACGAAGGAAACTTCCAAAGTTGCAAAATAAACGTTCTTTATATGTATAGACGGTGACAGATATGCCTTAACGTCTGAAATTGTACGAACAGAGAGAAACCTCTCTGTCACAGTCTGTACGTACATACACAAAAATTTTTACTTTTCATGTTTTCTCTCTAAAGAAAAAGTTACGTGATCGCTAACCTGAACACGACTAATTTTAACAATATCTTAATTCGCGGGACAGTTTAAACTTTTCCTTGGTTTTTCTGCCAAATTCGATTATTTTGTGCAAAAATATGTCGAATATGAGCATGACTTTATCACACATAATATCAAAGTTATGTTATGTAACTATACTAGGGCATGTTCAGATTCCTGGGTGCATCCCAGGTGTCATGTCATCCTTGTTATTTAACAAATATTAAACAAGGATGACATGACATCCGAGGAGCACCCAGATGAGAATCAGAGCACGCCTCTGAATAATTACCTTTTATTTATTACAGAATTTATCAACCGCACTCACTACTCGATTACTGCAAAGAAGAACAAGACTAACTAACCATTAGTCATGATTATTTTAAAGACTCTAATCGCTGGAGGACAAATATGCCTCAAAAGATTTTATGCTACAAGTCCAAAATTTATTGAAATTACGCAAGACAATAATACAGGTAATACTGCTATATCCATCGATGCTTAATACATGGGGCTTTTCCTTTCAAACTTTATTTCATTGACTAGATATCAAAATTATATCTATGGCAAGAAAACCTGTTAACTCCTTGAATGTAGAGTTGTTAAGTGAACTAAAGGCACTTTTATTGGAGGCCCAAAACAGTCGCAATAAAGGCGTTATATTAACGTCGTCTTTGCCAACCGTGTTCTCGGCGGGATTAGACATTATGGAAATGTTTACGACTGATAAAGAGAAACTTATTGATTTCTGGCAAGCAGTACAAGACACTTGGCTGACTGTTTACAGTTTGACTATACCGATTGCTGCTGCTGTCAATGTACAGTCTTTCAAGTATTACTTTATTAGCATATCTTTACAACATTTAATACAACATTCCTTTCTATATAGGGCTCTAGTCCTGCTGGAGGCTGCCTGTTGGCAATGTCTACGGAATATAGAGTCATGGTTGAAGGTAAGCATACTATAGGCTTAAACGAGACACAATTGGGTATAGTTGCTCCAAAATGGTTTAGGGATGTATATGTCTCGTTGATCGGCTATCGACAAGCTGAGCTGGCGCTTTTAAGGTACGTAAGATATATTATATTGAATAAATATATATAAATACAT